TTAATATAATTATCATGCATTCAATCCTACTATTAATAGATCATGCAATTTATGGATAATTTAAATGTTAATATTTCTCATAAAGGGAACTTAAATTCCCTGAGGCTACACTTTTTGTGATAAAACTGAAGCAATGAAAATAGCATATCACTATTTTTATAGTAATGATGATAAGTGAAGCGTGGCATATCATGGTGATATTATTATTATTATTATGACAAAATTAAAGCCATGCTAAGCATTTATCATTTACACGAATAATAACAAGGAAGCATAAATTGGATAAGCTTACCCTCAAAACCTGTAAAAGAAATAAACTTTTATTCTACTTTATTCTAATTATCGTTCATTTTATTTATCTTTTAAAGAAAGGCAATAAAAGAAGAAACAAAAAAATATTTAATATATTTAAAATGGGAGTTTTTTCTAGAAAAAAAAGTATATTTTCAAATTTATGAATTTTTTGAATTCATTTACATTTCAAAACTTGCTGGAAACTTTTGTAAATTATTTTAAATAACAACTTATAAACAATAATTGCGCAGTAAAAGTAAGATTAGTCATCAAAAAAAAAGTTATGGATCAATAACATTTATAAATTAATAAAGAATTCGAAAAAAAAAGTGAAAGATTTTTTAAAAAAACGAGAGGATAAAAAAAATACTATATCTTTTTTAGTTTTAGATGGAAATAATTAATGAATGAAAATAGAACTGATAAATGTTTAGAATAATTACGATTAATTAAAAAGTCAAAAAAATTGTCTACAATTCAAATTTTTTCTTTTCAGAATTTTTGATACTAACAATTTGATTATATTAAAAATCAATAATTTATGATGATGAAATTAAATTAGTATGAAATGAAACACAGATGTAATTCTCAATTTATTTAAGTATTAAAAATCTACTACAGTTTTAATATAGCTAAAATTTCATAATTAATTAAGATCAATCTGATGATCAAATAATTTTAATTTATAAATTAATTAGTTCATAAAATCGATATGATTATTCATTTAAACTTATATTTCATTAAAAATTTAAAGAAAAAAAAAAACGAGAATAGAAGAGCATACCAATTCACTGACAAGAGGTATAGTTTTTTTGGTGCGTGATATATTCATATTAGGCATAGCATCGATATTTCGATAGAAGGCACTTGATGAATTTCCAGCATTATCTGTTTCTAGCAAAGTTGGCTGAAATATAATTCAATTTTTTTTTTTTTTCAAAATTAATTTATAAAAATTGAAAACAAAAAATTAAAAAATTTCAATATAATGCTTGTATTTTTGATTGATTAATGATAATAATTTATCAATTTTTCTTATTATTCATCTTTTTTTTTCTCTTTAGCTTTACTTATTTACATTTCTTCCTACTTAAATATTACACTTTATAAAAATTTCACATGAAATTTAACCCGAACATCTATGATATGTAAATTTTATCGCCTTCTTACTTTATATAATTACATGGTGAAATGGGCCACATCATAATAAACACACCTGTTCGTTACTTCCCATCTTAACGATCAGCCCACGCGATTAAGTCATCATTAAAATTGCTTATGTCATTTAGCTTCTTTTTTTTTTTTGGAATGACTTTTCAACAATTTTTACAAAATCATTACTTTTTGTTTTTAAAGTCAGCTTTTCAAATCATTAATTTTTTATTTTTAAATTTAGAAATAGATTGTGAGAAAAACAACTAGTTCAATTTTGTCCTTTTTTTTCTCTTCTTTTTCTTTTTTGCAGACAACATTTTGACTTCATACAATTAAATTGAAATTTGTCCGACATGCAGGGTATGTGAATTTCGGTTCATTCGAAACTTACATGATATTTTGTAAGCGCTTTTAATTTTCTCTCGTGTTCGATTAAATTATTAACATTAATGATTTTAAATCTATAAAATGTGAATCTTTTTTGAATGATGAATTTTTTGTAAGTTTGAAATTCGGGTTCTTTCAGATTAATTTTTTGTATATTCATTTTTCATATTTTAATTTTCAATTTCATTTTTGTCTATCTCAATTAAAAAATTTTAAAAATTTCACATGATAAAACATGAAATACTTGATAATTAGCATAGTGCTTTTTGAAATTTCAATTTTCTTCCCTCTTACTTCCTTTATGATTTGTTCAAACTCTCATTCATCTTCTTAGCTAGTTGGTAATCGAATGGCTTTTCAATTCATTTCTCAAATATTTAATAAGTGCTTCCACTAATTATGGATAACTGTAGAAGAGAGAACGATAATAGGAAGTAAAGAAAGGAAGAAATTAATTCAAATTTCAAATCATTTTTAACATATTACTCCTCTCCTTCATCATTTTCCTCTTTGAAAATTTCCAATCTGACAACTTCTTCCATATTCCTTCTTATTTCCGAAAAAAATCAAAATTTTTTTCAAAAAAAAAAAAAACTGCTTATAAAGCACCACAATATTTTGTCCACTTAAATTCACCGAAAACAAATGAATAACCAACTACGATCAATACTTTATTAGATATTAAAATTTTAGTAAATTTCAGTAATTCGTAATCAAAATCAATTTAATTGTTAGATGTTTTAAAAAAAATTGAGATATTTAACAAAATTTAATTAGTGGACTTCTTTTTTATATTAAACATTTTTTTTATCGATTATTTAGTAAAGAAAAAAATGACAAATATTTCCTTACACATGATTTGATAAATTAAAAACAAGGAAAATGCGAAAAAAAAATCAACCTGTTCATTCATCATTTAAATATCACGCGTCATTTTGAAATTTGAATTTTGAGCTTAATTGAATTTACAATAGAAATTAATTGAATAGAAGAAGAATTGAGGAAAGAAAGAAATGATAACAATAGACGAAAAGTATAAGTTGAAAAGGCATGAAAGAATTATTTTTGCTAAAATTATTGCATGAGAAATGTTAAATTGTAAACAAACTCTTACCTTGTGAAATTGCTTCATTGTATCATATAAACTTAATTTAGTGATCAACATTAAAGTTGATTTTAATAATTTTGTAGTGTTATCATCTGTTCCATTAGAAGGATCAATGATTGATTCATTTGCTTGTAAATATGAGCCAAAATATTCTTTGGCACAGTTTTCATTATTTAAAATGAATGATGATGATGATGATGATGATGATGATGATGAATGATGATGCAATGGAAGTGTTGTTGCAAACAGTGAATTGCATCGATATTTTTGATAGCGACTTTTATGCATTTTCATTTCTTCGAGAGCGGAAATTTTTCTTGCCGATGATCGCTTATCATTATCTCGCACAACGATATAAAGATCATCGGGATTCGGTAAACTTGTTGAACGTTGTGCCGATGCATCATTAACACTTTTTTGCTTAATATATCGTATTGGCTTGATAGTTTTAGCCCGCCGTACTTTCTTGAATGATTTCGAAAATGCTAGCAGTGCAGCAGTGGGATCCGATACGGCGGGCTGTACCATTGTTGATTCGATTGAAGAAATTGATTACATAATTTCTGCTTGATGCAGTAATGTGAAATTTTCACGTTAATTTAGCATTTATTAATCGCAAAGATTCATTAGCTCCATTTAATTTTAAGTTAGTTTAAAAGTAAAAATAAAGATAACATTGATCGGTAAAATCTGAATAGAACATTTCTTCAGAAATGATATTTCAGCAAGAATTCATTCAAATAATTGTCAGTGTCTAAATTTATAAAAAAAAAAAAAGAGGAAAATGTGTTTTTGTTATCGAATAGCGTTCTGAGGATAAATTAAATTAACGCTTCAAACTGAATTTAATTACATTCGCTAAATGTTGTGTGATAAAAATATCTGACATCAAAAATTATTTAATTTTTCAATTTAAATAAATTGAAATCAAAAACATGCTAAAACTTTCAATCTAAATAAATTGAAATCAAAAACATGCTAAAACAAAAGTAACCTTTTTCTATTATATGCAGCAGCAAAAAGGGGAGATATTTAATTGGATCTAATTTCTTGACCTTAAAATTGCTTATATATGTATGATTGAATTCGGTCATTACTTTGATATAAGCTACGATCATTGCTTTGATTTAAGGTACGATCACTACTTCGATATAAAATTTGATGTTTACTTTTAAAAGAAGCTTTGACAGAAGGATCGAATCCAAAAATAATCGATCTAACTATTCTTGTCATTTGATAATAAGCAGAAATTGATTAAGTTTGTGATGAATTAAAAATAATTAAAATTATGACAAATAAAGAATAGCTTTTTGAAAAAAGATTTCATCAAATATTAACAAATTTCATTCGAAAAACTATTCAATAAACTATAAACAAAGCGTTATCAAACAAAGTTGAATTTAAAATTAGTAAAAAAAAATCACGGAATGAATTTAAATGAATCAAGAGAATGAAAAAATAATATAAAAGAAAAGAAAAATTTAAAAGCTTGAAAAGCCAGAGAAGAGAGATAAAGAAGATAAGACGGAAAGAAAGAAAGAAAGAAGTATTATATACCTTTTTTTTCTGCTCTCTCTCTCTCTCTCTCTCTCTCTCTCTCTCTCTCTCCCTTCAAATTATTGCCTTAATATTAATACGTCAAATTCTAGCGGCCTGAAAAAGTTATCGAGAATTTTTTCAATAATAGAATTTCGTATAAGGCTGATTAAACATACTTTACCTTACAGGTATTTTATGATAAATACATTCTTTCCCTCTTCTCATTGCAAAATAACTTCTTTCAAGATTTTTAATTCATCAATACTTATTTCTTTCTCTTTTTCTCTTTCCCCTCCGTTTTTCTCTCTCTTGTTTGTCTTTAATTATAGCTTAAATAGACGAAAACATAATTTAATTATAATCCTTTCTTTGGAAGCTCTGATGATTAGATTACTTTTATGCTACTGTTTCATGCAACAAAGTAATATATGTTTAAATATTGTTAGAAAAATACAAATTAATTTTTTAAATACAAAAATTTATGGAATTTTCTTTCACCATCAGAAATTATTTTATAAATTTAATAGCAGTTATGATTGGAATTATGATTGGAATGTGATCAATCAGAAGAAGATCGAAAGTGAATGTGGAAGAGAAATTCTGATCGAATAAAGTTTTAGTGAATAATGTAAGACTTCAATAATTCGTGAACAATTTATCATTCATGAACATTTGTTCAGAAATAAAAAATAAAAAATTGAAAAGGTTATAGTTCAGAAAAAAAAAAAGTGCAATTACAGTTTAATTTTTGTACTGTAATTACAATGCGGTATAAACTTAGCTTAAGTTTAAGCTTTGAAAATTCAAACTAAGTTTGAGATTAAAATCAAGGTTGCTAAAGTGGCAACAATTCTAATGACTGATTTATAAACACCAAAGAAGCTAAGATCGAATGAAAAATTCATTTCCAATATTTGATTACTGTATTCGAGGAGAAAATGAAAAAAAAAAATGATATGAAAAGAATAATTTAAATCATAAATGATTGGATCGCTGAAAATCAATTCGAAGCGTAATTTTGAAACAGAAAGAGAGGAGGAAAGAAAGCTGTCGTAATGAAATGTGTAGGTTTTAATTAACGAATCATAATTAAATGATCAATTTGTGATTGCAAAATTTGTAATACTTGGAAGTAAAGGTATGCATACATTTTAGAAAATAAAATGATTAATAAAGGAGAAGAAGTTAATCGTAAAAAGAAAATAGGAAAGAGAAAAGTAAAGGACAATAATACGATATAAATTAATATTTCAAAGAGATAAAAAAAATAAACAATTTCGTATAAATATAATCTTTAATTATTTGTTTATTAATTAGGTATGCAACTTCAAGCGTAATCAAATCACATTGTCACTCATAATTAATACTTATTTTTAGCAACAACGACCATTCTGGATGATTGACCATAATAAAATAATCAATTTAAAAGATTTAATTCCTTTTTTTTTTTAAAAAAAAGCAAATTATTATAATCTTTAATTTGTTTACAATCTTTAATGCCGAATTACACTTTCAAATTTCCAGAAAGCATAATTCTTACTGAATAAATAAAAGGATCCTAATAGTGTTCAATAGGACTAGTAATTCCAGGAATTCTATATCAGATACAGTTTCCGGAAAAGTATTACAATGTTTGAGTTGATCAGTTTATCATCGGTACAAATCGTTTGATATTTTAATAGCCTATCAAGCAACTTCTATTAAAGCTTCTCCGATATATCGCTTCATCCAACTTCAAAACCAGAAATTCTTGATATCTTGACGAAACAACAGATGAATTTAATTAATTGAGAAATATAGGGGAAGAAATGATCGAAATATCAAATCAATGATTCATTTTTCATCTATCAAATAATCATTTTTAATTAATATGTTAAGAAAAAATTATAGTCTTTTCAAAAAAAAAAAAGAAAAAAAAGCATAGAAAATAAATCAATTTAATTTGGTGGTAGTTAAAAAAAAATAATTTTTCAGTTTCAAGCAAAAATTATGCAAAAATTGGTAAAAATGTTTAGAATAATTGGTAAAAATAAAAAAAAGGGATGAAAAAAAAAGGATGAAATAATTGATAAATGACCAACTTGTAAGATGAAAAAATATTGTATGAAAAGAGAGGATTAGAAAAAAAGGAAATGGTTGATAAATATTGTAAAATGAAATGATAAAATCGACTATTTAGGTTGATTTGTGAAAAAATATGCAAAATTGAAATAACTTCCTTCGTTTAATTAATTAGTAATTGATCTATTTGGCATTGTTTATGCTTCATTATGCTGATTAATTAATTATTCATTAATACAATCTTTTATTCTCACTCTCTTTTTCATTATTTATGCATACTATGTCGAATGTTTTTCTTACTCCTCAACAATTTTCTTATTTTGTTTCATCATTTAATCCTTTTATGTTTTATTCATTAATTTTTTAACAAAATCATTTTTTTAGCAAATGACAGTTGGCAGATGATTTTAGAAAGATAAAAAGTGAAAAGTTGAGAGAGAAAGAGAGGTTGGAATATAATTAATTAGAAATTAACAATTTTTAATTTGATTCTTTTCAAAGTAAAAATATAGCAACGAATGAAAATTTTAAAAATTAAAAAAGCATGTGGAAATTATCAGATTGGGACGAACAAAAATTTAATATGTGAGAGAAACAAACTGTTAAATTATTTTACATACGAGTGTATTTTTCCTTTTTTTTTCATTTTTTTTTAATACCCATATTTTGGCAAAGTATAAAAATTCAATAAAACAAAATGAAGGGATGATTTTTTTCAGTTAAATTTTAAGGATATTTTTAGAAATGTTGAAAACAGTAAATAATGGATTGAAATATGAAATAAATAATATATATTATTGCACAATGAAATATTTTCAAAAGAATTAAGTAATGCAACACTAAATTCGTTACATTTTTTCGTATGAGAAAAAAGAAAATGCTATCAATTTAAATACTGTCAGAAATTTTTCCAAAAATTATCCACCGATAAATTAGTTAGAGGAAAATGAAAACAAGGATAAAATGATCAATTTCATTTTACAAATTACTTTTGCAAATGCTAAAACGAAAAATTCAAATAAGAGAAAACGGAAATGAGTTTTGATAGAATTTGAACACCAAAATAAAAAAAAAAAAAAAAAACATCTGAAACAATCATCTAAATGCGAAAGTTCAGTACTATGTCTTTTTTTTTCTCTCCAGCAGTATTGATTTATTTAAATGAGCTTAAGCCTAAGCATAAGTTTATCATCTTTTTAGCCTAGGATTTTAAAATAAGCAAAAAAAAGAAATGGTCATTTTTTTGTTTCCTTGTAGAAATTTCATTTTATCTGCTTTCCGCATTTTTTACCATCTTTCACTTCTTAAAGCTTTATCAATAAGTAATGTTTAAAATTCAATACGATTATAGAAATTCAAGAGCAATTCAAACCATAAATAAAATAATCATTGCAAATCTAAAATAGGTTTAAACTTGTTAAAGTTAGATTAAAGTGTATGAGGCAAAGAAATTTTTGCTCATTTTTTCGATTATTTTAGACTTAAGAATTAATTTTAAATTCTTTCTTCCTTTTTTTTTTGTCAAACAAAATTATGTAATTGAATTTTGTGAATGGAAAAAGAAGTTATTTAACTTTTTAAGTCCATCTCATCAGTTCGATTGTTTGCTAACGTTTTTCTTTTCCTATTACATAAAAAAAGAAAAAATGAAAAATAAAAGTTAAAAATTAAAAAGTAGTTAGTGCCACGTGCCTAAAGAAAAATATAAAAGTCCGACTGTAAAATAATTTCAAATTTCAATTATTACAACTTCTTGTTTGAATGTAATAGTGTCCTTTTCATTTTTTTTTCTTTTGATATATTTATTTCAGGAGCAAAAAAAATGTAATGATTAATCAAATATGATTCTGATAATACTAAATATAAATTATTGATCGATAGATATCAAAAGAATATGTCATAATAAAATATGTTAATAATTGCTCAAT